ACAGTGTAAAAATCATCAATAAGCAGCTATAACACATTAGTGTTACAGTAATAACCGTTTATTGTTAAACCTCAGATTTTGATGTTGACTGATCTTTCTTTGTCTTCTCCATCAGTCAGCATGAAACCATTTATAAACGCTTTATAAGGTTAGTCTTATTCTAAAGTGGTGTTGATTCATTTTACTTTCTGGTAATCCTTTATCCTATTTCTCATTTGCAGTATTGTGTTATTATGTATGTGTTGTGTTGTTTGCTGTGTTGTTTTATTTAGTTAGTGATCATTAGTCTTTATTTCTTTCAAGTTGCAGTATGAAGGCTGAAGTATGTTTTTAAGCTTACAACAGTCTATTAATGCATGTGCGAGCATTCTTTTAGGTCTAGAACAGACTATCAGGAAATGGTTAGTTTAACAGCTCAGTGGTATACATAGCTCCCAGTCACCAAAGGTCACAGACACAGGTGTGCCTTGGACCATCAATTTGGTATATAAACAGCTACTGTGAAGCTTAGATCAGGCTGGACCATTGCAGGCTGATGTTACAGTGCGCTCTCGAATGAAGATCTTCATCATTGCCTCTCTTGTCTTGGCTCTGTCTCCCAGGTTCAGAAAAGATTCTCCACAATGGTGCTAAATATTGTTTTACATCTCTTACACTCAAGCTTTCATCACCGGCTGTAATTTGATACATATTACAGTCATTCATGCTATCTATCAGTCTTAGCTGAGAAGCTTTGGCGCCTCCCACCTCATAGCCCAAGACTACAGCATAGCCTGAAGCAGCTGTCTGAGCAAGGGGTGCAATAGGTGGCGTACTCCGAAAGCTTGCTAGTCTCCATGCTAGACTAAAGATAATGGCCTACCCTAAGAGACTGGCTTTTCCTTCCACTGTCTTTTCTCCTTTTAACTCTTTGACTCATTACATTCTGATCTCACATTGTAACTCACCACACGTGAGGTGAGGAAATTAGTTTTGATTTGTACTGTATGTACGTCATGTTGTCTGCATTTATTTGTGGCACACTGGTATAACAGTAAAGACAAAACTCCAAACTTAAGAAGAATTTCAACTAGTATGCTGGATAAACCCACTACTCTGCCAAAGTATCACTTTAGTGCAATTTCATAATCATGCACTGTGATTTCTGTGACTCTTTTGACTCCAGTTTATGACACATATTGTCCTTTAAACCATGTGACACCTCTCTACAGGTCAGGAGTGGTTAGTAAGGGTCTAGGTGTCTTGAAAAAAAGTGAAATGCTGCAGGAGAAGCTCAGCAGGACAGAGAAAAATCTGCCCATGAGGAGCTAATAGCAGAGGGAAAGGGGAGGAGGGTGGGCTTTTTGGCAAACTCCAGCAAGATGCTCCACTGAATGTTTGCACAAACGGGCCTGCACCTACTAATTATGGTAATGGAGGGCTGACGTAGAGACAAACGTTTGCGGTGGAATGGATCTTGGGACGAGGTCACGGCTAAAGCTCCGCTGTCCTGATTCAACCTCGCAACGGCCAACAATTCGTCTTTTTCCCCACAGTCAGCGTGATGATGCACACAAATCAACAGAGCTAGAAGCCAGTTCAGCCAAAAATCAGATTTACACAGTTTTCCCTCCCGTTAGCCCAAATGTAGTCGATCAGCCAAGACATGTTTCATAGAGGCTGCACTGATCCGATAGCATGAATTGGTATTGAACCATTAAAGGAAAAAAAGAACAAAATTTCCGATTCTCTAACAAGTGTGACTATAATGTTGTGCGTCTTTTTTTGTAGTTTTTATATTAATTTAAAATAGTGTGCAAAATGATCTGAACAATAATTTTGTGCTAAACACACTTCTACACATCTTAATGCACAATCACTGCTTATTTGATGAATTTAATATATTTACTTAAAAAATCAACAAAACATAATTTGACTATGGATGTTCAAACTCTTACATATGACTATACAGATATCAGTGAATTTATACAGCAAGTTCTAAATATAAGGTTAATTGTCTCTAGAGGTTGACATCCCAAATTTTAACCACAGCACTAAAGAAAAGAATTTTGTCTGCAACAGACATTATTGTAGCAAAGATCGTAGAGATGTGTACCTGCCTGTGTCCTGTCTTAGAACATTAAAGCTGAAACAGGCAAATTTACCCACAAACATCCAGCCCACAGAGCAAAATTTAAACACATACTGCACTAGCGTTAGCATTAGCATTAGCAATCCATCAGAAATCCATCTGGTCCTGTACTGATCTGTCTCATTTCCACTGTGATGAAAGACTGAGGGCACGGCGTGTGTTCATACATCTGTTATTTTCAAACAAAGACAAACTGGGCCTGCTAGAGTCAGAAAATATGAGGCATCCACAGTTGCTAAATCACTAAAGATCAAAAGAAGCCAATTTCAGACATGAAAGACAATGCAAAAAGAAAGAAGACGAATGAAACTGTCTTAGATGCCAGATAACTTTCAAAATTACAAGATTAAGTGTTGACACTTCAACACACTATTCTGGTTTCTAGTAAGGAGAACTTTCAGCTGAAGGCAAAGCGTCTCAATCTCAACTAAATAAAAATTACTCTCCATTTTATACATCAAGCCTCTTTTCTTCCCACTTGTGTGCTTGAGTAAAGCATAAACTCCTTATTCATCAATTCAAATTGCACCACTCAATACACTCTTAAAAAAGACGGTTCTTCAAGGGTCCTTTAGTTCAGGGAATGGTTCTATTTAGAACCATGAGTTCTTTAAGAACAATTTCATGCTTAAATAGTTCATTGCAAGGTGAAATATTCTTCAGATTGATGGAGAACATGCTGTATATGGTTCTACATAGAACCTTTTCAAAAAAGGGTTCTATATAGCGCCAAAAATGTTTCTTATATTATTACAAGCTTGATGTATCAGCAGCAGAACCCTTTTTGGTGTTATATAGAACAATTTTCAAAGAATTATTTTCAAAAAGGTTCCATATGGAACCATATACAACCCATTCTCCATCAGTCTACAGAACCACTTCACCCTGCAGAGAACCAAGCATGAAATGATTCTAGAAAGAACTCATGGTTCTAAATAGAATCTTTCCCTTTACTAAAGAACTCTTGAAGAACCAAACTTTTTTAAGAGTGTCATGATGATAACTATTGGTCACGTACATCATTTTTTTAAATTTTGGCCCTCGTGTACCCTTGATCTTATGTGAGCTGTGTAAAAACTCTTCAGAGGAAATTGTAAAGTAAAAAAAAATCCATAATTGTAAATTGAATTTTAAAACAGACATTTAAATTTCAGTCTTGTATTTTTTGAATGTATCCCTTAACCAATCAACTAAAGGATAAACACGTCTAAACTTATTAACGTCTTAACCTTATTAAAATTGCCATAAAAACTTGTGATTGTGATCTCTTTAGCAGTTACTGGTACTGTTCTATCCTGCTTTGCTTGCAGTTTATCTCTTAAGAACCACTAATCTGTTCTTGTTACTCAGAGGGTGTTCCTCAGGGCTCAGTCCTTGGACCTATTCTCTTTATTATTTGCATGGTCAAATAATCCTTTCTTATGTTTTCAGTTTTACTGTTAAGCCAAAATCTTCATTCACACAGTTCATGCCATTCAAGTGGTGACTGGCAGGTGAAACATTGCTTTGGAGACAAACCACACGAGATTTATTATTGCCACCTGAAGCGCTTACGAAACAAAACTGAGGCAGAAGCGGTGTGGATTGGCCTGATGGTCATTTGTGCTTCGCTTGTGTGAATTCCATTATAAACCCCTGATCATTAACTTGGAGGGGGAGGTTTAATAGACAGATAAGCAACATGTAAGAGAACCATCCTATTCCTCATATCTCTCCCTTTCTACTTTCATTCTTTTTAAATCTATTAATGTTGATTTTGCCCCATCTATGCCTTCCTTCTAATCCTGAAACTACTCCACACAGCACAACCCAGATTAACCATCCCACAAAACAAAAAAAACTAAATCTCTAAAAGCCCCAGCTTCCTCCAAGACAGGCAAACAATCTATCTCAGCAGAGGGAGAGAGAATCAGAAAGTTATGCAATAGGTTAGTCTTGGGAAAGTGTCTGTATAATGGTTTGAATCTGCTCTTAATTTGACTCATAGGTTTAGCAAATTATTGTGTGTGTGTGTTTGTTTTTATTACATGGTGGGGGCCGCAACACGTTAGCACACTCACAGTGTGGGGACCGAAAACATTGTGGGGACCAGTTTGCCGGTCCCCACAATGTTTTCAGCCAAAATGCGCCAGTTGACTCAGGAGACCATGCTGATATGGGTGGTGCGGTTTTTTTTTTGGACCCCACCATACGCAAAAACATGAGAAGTGTGTAAAAGCGTGCTTACACACATGCTCACCGATGCCCCCGGAGGTATCTTGGTGGTACTGCACCCTACCCTAAAAGTGTGCTTAGGATGCGGACCGTAAGCACACTTTCACTACTGCGCCTGCGCAACCCTGATACACGTCATTGAGTGCTGTGAACGCTGAATTAATCACTGCTACTACAAGGTAAACACAAATAAGACATATTAATGAGTAAATAGTTAGTTATGTTAAACATATAAATATTACAATCAAGAAATCAAAACGTGAACAGTTTACAGTCAGATATTGTCTCCTATTATATTCTATTGTAATATGCACTGCATTGTAACAGTGAGTCAGTTAAAAGATAAGCTACCAAAAGTTCCAAAGAAAATATAAAATATATAAGCATCAGCGTTATAAAGTCTTCAACGTCGATACGTTCAGTATAATACATATATAAGTGTATATATAGTCAATTTTAATGGTTTAAAGTACTCCGGTCGAACTTCTGGTCTAAGCTAATGTTATAACCTAATAGCTTTGTTTGTGTGCATGCCGAAGTGAAGCTAAAATGGCGCCTGTAGTTTTTCCGTTCTATATTGAATGGAACGAATGGGACTTGGAAGAACAAAGAAACTACATTTCCCGTAATTCCCTCTGTCACGCCACGAAAGAGCTGAAGGATGGCTGCACACAAGAAGCACCGATGTAAGGTAAGTTAAGCCGGATTTTAAAACTCTTCATAGCTTAAATATATGCGTTTGCTCGCAAAGATACGGTTTTATGTTTGCTCTCGACTCAGTTTGTGTTATCTCGAGCAGCTACAACATTTCAGGAGCTCATAACTCGTTAGCTAGCTAGCGTTAGTTAGCTCGACGCTAACGCGCTGTAAGACCCGCTGTTCGGTACCGTGAGGCGTTTTCAGTGGTGTTTAGCTGTGCAGGGGGAGAGAGTGGAGGACATTAGGCTGGTTTAGTGTAATTAACCTAGTGTTTTAAAGGGCTGTGTGTTCTGTGCGTGCGTAGTGGAGAGAGGGGGGAGAGAAGGGGGTGCTGGAGAAGGGGGGGGGCTGGTTAGCTGGATGGTAATGAGTAAGGTAGATAAGCAGATTTTTAAACCCTTCATAGCTTAAATATTTGCCTTTGCTCGCAAAGATACGGTTTTATGTTTGCTCTCGACTCAGACTCTGTGTTATCTCGAGCAATCACAACATTTCAGGAGCTCATTACTCGTTAGCTAGTTAGCTTGACGCTAACGCGCTGTAAGGCCCACTGTTTGGTACCGTGAGGCTTTTTCAGTGATGTTTAGCTTTAGAGAGAGAGAGAGAGAGAGGGAGAGAGATATTTGGTTGGTTTTGTGTAGTCAGAGGTTTAAAGGGCTATGTGTTCCCTGCGTAGTGGAGAGAGAGAGAGAGAGAGAGAGAGAGAGAGAAGGGGGAGAGAAGGGGGAGAGAAGAGGGAGAGAAGGATGGCTGGTTAGCTGGATGGTAATGAGCTATAAGGCCCACTTTGGTAACCTCAAGCTTAGTTTGTATGTTTTTAGTTTAGGGAGAAAAAGTGTGTTGGATATTTTATTGGTTTCATGTGATCAAAGTTTTTAAAAAAGCTGTATGTACATTTTAGAGAGAGGAAGCTGTGTGGAGATTATCTTATTAATCTAACTTAGCTGAAAAATACAGCAGGGTAAGACTCACTGTTCTTACCAGGTATTTTATTAATTCAAATAATCAGAGTATTAAAAGGGCTGTGGGTTTTGTGTGTGTGTGTGTGAGAAAGAGAAAACAGCCATTGAGCTTAACTGGATGACAATTGACTGCAAGGTGGGGCTGAAATATTTGGTAAAATATCTGATTGCAGGTTGTTCTGAAAAAGATTGTATCTGCTATTTGATCTGTTACTGATTTCAGTAAATGAAAGGCATGTGCTGTGGCCAAAAGACCAGCGCATCCATTATTTTTGGCTGAGGCTTGAACTCTGAAAGTAGTGTGCCAACCTGCCAGTTAATGGTGATTGTGTTGTCCTGTACACAGTATACACAACAGAGGGGTCCTTCTGATTAGTCCGACTCATGTAGAGGTGGTTCAGAAGCTCTGTGTTAGGTTAAATTTCTGCACTTATAAATTCTTAAGACAGTGTTGTTCATCATGTAGGCTATGATTATTATTGTAACTCTTTGTGATTTGAAAATCATTTAATCTTTCAGGTGTACTATAAGGCTCACTGCCTCGCTATATGTATATGTTTATATATGTTTAGTTTTAGAGAGAGAAAGACAGTTTTGGAGAGGGAGACAGCGAGAGCCATTCTTGTGCGGACTCAGCAGGAGACAGCAAGACGTGTGGAGAGAAAGAGAGAGAGTGAGGCACTGATCTAGATTTGAGCTCTAAATATAAGAAGAGCTAATTCACACAGTTGCATTTAGGTCTACACTACAGTAAATGATTAATATTTAATAATATAATACATTACAAGCATAGTTTTTGTTATGGTTAGAACTCTTTTCTTTGCACTGGCCTATTATCAAGACCTGTTATTGATTTAATCTTGTCTTAAGAGTCATTCCATTTAGCTTCTTTTCAAAATAATTTTTATAATATCATATAAAATATACTGTTCCTACTTGCAAATATATGTTGATCACATCTCACTAGTAGAAAATAGTATGGAAATCTTAAAATTCTGTTTATTACAAGGCTTTTCTAGGCCATACAAATGTTTTTGCTGTTCCATGTGGCCTTGCTTTGAGTATGATTTGTCAACCTTCTGCTTCAGATACTCTCAGTTGCAGGAGGAGAAGATAAAATGAGACGGAGGAGGGTGAAACCACTTGATGAAGCAGTACAACATGTCACCAGTGCAACTGACAAGACTGATGTATTGGAGAGTAAATTAATAAACCCTTATAAAGGTAGGCCTGGTTTTCTGTATTGTTGTGGTTTTGCCTGCATACTTACATTAGAGTAAAGAAAATAATTTCTCTTGACAAATGTTAGCCATTTTGGGGGCATGCAACTAAAATACAAACCATTTATCTAGAACACAAGTGTATATAGTAGTAGACTAGTTGTTTGTACCAATGAAATGCATGTGAAATCCAGCTTAATAATGTTTGTAAAATACGGCTATCTGCTGCTAAATGTTGTGTTTTTGATATGTTAATTTGAATATTTTTGTTTTATTATTATTATCCACATTTGAATTGGCCACTGCCTGGTGCAGTTCACTTTTCATTTGCGTGAAGTTCAGAAATCCTTTTCATCTATTTTGCTCGACTGCCACGCCCACAGTCCTCTGTGCTGAAGCTGGTTTATGTAATATTGTGTACACTAAATCTAATGGTGGTGTATTAATTCAATTAGAAACAGATTAATTGCCACACTATGATACATTTTAAAACAGTTAATCCACTGTCTTACAGTGCAGGATGTTTTCTGTATCACAGCTGCTACAACATGCATATGATTTGTTTGGCTTATTATTCTTCTTTGACAGGTCATGGTGTATTTGCCCTGGCTTCTTTGAATAAGGAGATTTTGTGGTTGAATGCAGAGGGAACTGATGGACTTTCTTGAATCAGGGAGAAGGAGGAAGGTCTCCCGAATTACTGTATTACTTTTGGCAGAATATAACGGTGGTAAGTTTCAGAGATGATTACATGTTAGTGATTATCATAGAGGTATTTTGTAGAATGTCTAAAATTTTAGCTGTGGTAACTATCTTAACCATATGAAATGAAATTATTTTGTAGTATAACTATACTTTCAGTAGGTGGGCAATAAGGCCTTGAATAATATCACAAAATTTTGGATAATTTTTTGCAGTAACCAATATTAACTAATTAACTAAAGAAAGCTTCTAAAATTATTTCCGTTCATTTAAAATACATTATCATATTTTGGCTGCAGATAGTGAATTCTTAAATACTAATTCCAATAAATGTACACTAATTTAACCTTCAAAAAGCTGACAGTGAGAACGATGCACTTGCCACATGGTGGAGGCTGCATAACTTCTTATTGTCAGCAAGTTTAGCCAGTAAATATCTGTGCATATCTCTGCCACCATGCATCTCTGCTGAGAGAGGATTCATGCCTGTTTGCAATATTGTAGCTTTTGAAGCCAGCGTCAGGGAACATGCTTGTTTTCTTGGTAAATAAGGTAGCAGACCACCTGTCAGAGGAGCTCAAACAAACATCTCAAATGTTTTAATAGTTATTTTGTGTCACCGTATTTTTTGACATTTTGCATTACTGTTGTTTGTTTGGGGTCTAGCCTTCTGTAGCCATAAACTTCCACACTACTGACTCTGTTCTCCCCTTTTAAGAACTAAGTTGTCCTCAGTGCTAGTGATACTGTTCTCTGTATGGCAAAATCCTATTGCCATTTAAAAAAGTACCGGTGTTAGTATTATGTTGCCTCACCCTATATTTCAACAGTATTTTCTTTTGTTTTGTTAATGCTTATTGATTGTTTGTGGCACTGCTACCTATATGCAGTAATCTAGTTCTAACATAGATACAATAAATGTATTTTGTTTGTTTGTTTGTTTTTTTGTCCATTTTTTAAGCATTGTTGCAACAAGAGAGGATGACACCCTTGGCCGACTAGTGAACGATGAGCACAGGACCTCAACTGTAAAATGAAAAAGATCATTGTCCAGGGACCGCATCTCTGCGTTTTTGTGATGAGAGATTATAATGCCTGGAGTAGAAAATAACCTACGACTGTGAGGAATGACTGGCATCATAGGAGAAAGGTTTGTAAGATGTGTTTGGATTAAATTTTTGAAATAGATTTTACTAGCTTAGGCAGTGTGATAGAGTGCTTATCGCATTTGATCAAAAAGTAACCCTTTGAAAGCCCGTGCAATGTGTATTGCTGTCCTTGACATTGAGTAGAAGTTACATTTTCTTGAGATTATTAGATAATGGCTTAGCCTGATTACATTTCTTAGTAAGGATTTTCTAGTAAGGATTTTAGTAAGGATTTTATGGAATCTTAGTGAAACATTTCAGTTGAGGTCATAAACTTTAATCATCCACACTATTAATGCAATTTAAAATTATTAGCTGTTTTGTATGATTGTTTAGTATGATAATGTCAGTTGTTCTATAAGATTGTTTTTGTTAACAACTAATAGACAAGTGACCGGCATATTAGCTAGTAGTATGGCATTTTTTGGTTTAGGTATTTGTTATAACAAAGCTCTTCAATTGTAAATGTTTAACTGTGATTATTTGAAATCCCTGTAGCCTGCACATAAGGACACTGCTAACATCAAGGACAATGTTGACCAAGCCGCTCGGCTTCAGGTCCTGTGACCAATGCTGGAGCTTCCACTTCTGACTTAAGGTATAGTGGTTTTATATCCATAAGTGACATATTTGCATCTACAGTATGTAATAAATGCACTGGTGTACATCAGTTACGATCAGTTGTTCAGAAGATGTTTCTTTAAAACAATTAGACAAGTGAATGACATTACTAGCCTAGTATATGCATTTTGGTGTAGGTTATTGTCCTATTAAGTAGTTGTGATGTGTAGACTGAAGTTTACATTACATGTACACTATGTGGTGTAGCCAAGGACAGCCTCGTTTCTTTTGTATGAAATGCTGTTTCCAATTCTACATGTTAAACTGTGATATTTGAAATCCCCATAGCCTCTATGTGAGGACACTGCTAACATGATGGATGTGGTTGAATCAATCCGCTCAGCGTCAAGTCTGTGACAACACAGGATCTTTTTCTTCTGGCTTAAGGTATTTAAAAGTGGTTTTATGAGCAGTATCATTGACTACTTGGTAGCTCTGCAGCTAATTATGGTCAAGTTACTTCAGTACTGATTTCGATTTGTTGTCAGATATAAATTTGTGAGAGTTGTTTTTGTGTGTTTTTAAGTGAGGCCTTAGGGATGGTATTAGTTATACATGCTCTCAGCTCTCGCATGTGGGGACCCTTTTAGGATAGAAATGTTTGGAGTGTTTGGTTACAACCCACTGTCAGTTTAGCACGTCTAAGTAGAACCTTCCACTATGCAGCAGTAGACTCGCAGGTCAACATATAGACAACATTTCTGAACTATCGTGTAGGTTACCTTATGACTAATGTCATTCAGTGTCTCATATGAACTGGTAATAGTTTCCTGTTTTTAAACAAGTGTTTAAGGTTGATATTGGTTACACACACTGTCAGGTCTAAGTAGAAACTTCCACTATAGCAGTAGACTCACAGGACAATATGTAGACTTTATTTCTGAATAACAGTTTAAATGACCTTACAAGCAGTGTCATTCAACTTCTGAAATTAATTTGTAATAATTTTCTCTTTCTACATGAGTCTGTAAGGTTGGTATTGGTTACACACGCTGTCAGGTTAGTATAGTGGTGACCACGTCTAGTCAACCTGAGCACCAGGAGCTGAACACACAGAAGAATATATGGTCTATTGTTCTCAAGAGCAGTTGTCCTCTTAAGTTTATAATATGAATTTTTGATTGATGTAATTAACACACTTTACACTATGTGAGGTTCATTGAAATGTTTAACTGTGATATTTGAAATCCCTTTAGCCTGCATGTGAGGACACTGCTAACATGATGGATGACGTTGAACCAAGCCACTCAACTTGGTCCTCTGACCAACACTGGAGCTTCCTCTTCTGACCTAAAGGTGTTTTAAAACAAGTGTAGACGACTTGCATTACAGCATGTATTACTGCATGGTTTACACATGTATTAGTTGTTCAGAAGATTGTTTCTTTAAAACTATTAGACAAGTGAATCACTTACTAGCCAAGTAATATGACATTTTTTGGTGTAAGTTATTGTCCTATTAGTAGTTTGATGTGTAAGACTGACATTGCAATACATGTACACTATGTGGTGTAGCCTGGGACAGCATTAGACATGGTTGAACCAAGCTGCTCAGCTTCAAGTCCTGTGACGCAACTCTGAACTTCTTCTGGCTTTAAAGGTATTTAAAAAAAATATATATATATATATTATTTGCATATAGAGATTGAACTACTTGGTAGTTATGCAGCTATTAATGAAGTTACTTCAGAACTGATTTCATTGTTGTGTGATAAATTTGTGAGAGTTAATTGTTTTTAAGTGAGGGGCCTTAGGGATGGTATTAGTTACACATGCTCTCAGGTTTGCATTTTTGGGGACCCTGCTCAGATAGAAATGTTTGAATGGTTTTAGTTACATTCACTGTCAGATTTAGCGTAGTGGGGACCACATTTAGGTAGAGACTTCCACTAAAGCAGTACACATGCAGGACAACTTATAGACAACGTTTCTGAGCAACAGTGTAGTTTACCTTGTGCTAATGTCATTCAGGTCTCATATGAACTGGTAATAGTTTTTCCTGTTTTGAACAAGTGTTTAAGTGATATTGGTTACACACACTGTCGGGTCTGCCATAGTGGGGACCACGTCTAAGTAGAACTTACACTATAGTAGTAGACTTACAGGACCATATATAGACTTTATTTCTGAATTACAGTTTAAATGACCTCATTAGCAGTGTCATTCAGCATCTGAAATTAATTTGTAATAGTTTCTTCTTTGTACACGAGTCAGTAAGGTTGATTTTGGTTACACACATTGTCAGGTTTAGTATAGTGGGGACCACGTCTAGCCACCTGAACAGCAGAGCAGTGAAACACACAGAAGAATGTATGGTCTATTGTTTTCAACAGCAGTTTGTCTCTCATAATTACATCCCATTAAGGGTGTAATATGATATTCATGTTAAGATTGATGTCATTTACACTGTTTCTATAAAATGGTGAATCCATGTCTGGTTAACTTGAAGTCAGCAACATCTGATAAAACGTGTGAAATTGTGTACTGCATTTTAAATAATGATCTACTTGTGTTGAGATTTATTGAAATGTTTAACTGTGATATTTGAAATCCCTTTAGCGTTGATGTGAGGGCACTGCTAACATGATGGATGTGGTTAAACCAAGCCAATTAGGAACAAGTGTACAAAGAGGAAACGGGCATTACAAATTAATTTCAGATGTTGAATGACATTACTCCTGAGGGCATTTAAACTGTAATTCAGAAATAAAGTCTACATATTGTCCTGTGAGTCTACTGCTATAGTGGAAGGTTCTACTTAGTACCGTGGTCCCACTACGGCAGACCTGACAGTGTGTGTAACAATATCAACCTTAAACACTTTAAACAACAGGAACTATTACCAGTTCATATGAGACTCTGAATGACATTAATCATAAGGTTATCCTACACTGTTGTTTCAGAAATGTTGACTATATTTTTCCTGCGAGTCTACTGCTATAGTGGAAGGTTCTACTTAGACGTGTTCCCCACTATGCTAAACCTGACATGGTGTAACCCAAACCATTCACGTTTCTATCCTGAAAGGGTCCCCACAATGCGAGACCTGAGAGCATGTGTAACTAATACCATCCCTAAAGCCTCACTTAAAACATTAGTTAGTTGTGACAGTTGTGATGTGTTAGACTGACATTTGCAGTACATGTACACTATGTGG